TCTTGGGAACCTGATTTTAAACATGGCTGCTGTGGCGGCCATTTTAAAAAGGTGACTGTAGCTTATATGTAATCTGTTATCGCTTCAAATTGGATGAATTGACTGGTAAGTCATTAAAAGCATGCTCAATACCAAATCCTGCAAAATTTGCTATATCTTCATTAACCGGCCTTGATTTAATCTCATTGATATCCTGTTCGGGTGGCCAGGCGAGCCACAGTGCCGTGGCACTATTTTTTTATGTAGCTCTGTATTCTAGCACTGAGTTTGAATGGCTACAATGACAATGCGGTTGAAATGCTGACTGTAAGGGCTCTTTGTCCCAGGAATTTTGTCCCTGGACTTTTCGTCCCTTAGGAATTGTCGTCCTCGGACTCTTCGTCTTTGTGGACTTTTCATCCCCAGACTATTCGTCCCCATGAACTTCTTGTCCCTAGACTCTTCATCCCTGGATGGTTCATCCCCAATAATGCTTTGCCCGCTTCCTGCCTTATAACACCATCCCTACCCCTAACTCTAACCCATATATCATAGTGATCTGTCCGTCGTCCATTTGTCCATCCGTCTGTCAACAATGGTGGCACTTTTTTTTTACCATTAGGGGACAAAACGTCCTTGGGGACGAAAAGTCCAGGGACAAAAAGTCCTTGGGGATTAAGAGTCCGGGAACGAAAAGTCCATGGGGACAAAAAGTCCAGAGATGAAAAATCCAGCGACGAAAAGTCCAGGGATGAAAAATCTGGGGTACGAAGAGTTCTGTACCCGACTATAAGCTTTGACTTGAGGTTCTTATCGCCCATAATGGATGAACTGTTTATAACTGACATTTTTGGGTAAGTCAAAACATATTGGGGAGTTTAGTATAATGTAGAATAAAGCACTCATTTGTAAGATTCGATCACATATCCTTTGCATTTCATGATTACTTGAAGTCTGTGAGGCATAGGCATCACCAGACACTGGGTATCTTCCCTGGTGATGCTTTGCCAGGCCTGTACTACAGCCATCCTCAGTTCCTGATTTTTTGGGGACTTTTTACCTTCAGTCTCCTCTTGAACATATGTAGACTTTTTGTTCTGTTAGATTCATATCAGGTGATCGACTCTGCCAACAAAATTAAAATTAAAATGCGTCACTGTCCAATGAATTATGGAGCAGACTATATTTCACTTTTACCTTGTTTGTGAGTGGTCGTGATTACCAAGCAAATAGTACATTATGTTTCAGGATGCATCTGGGATGTTAGCTCCTTAACCCTCGGAGTCCAAGGGTATATTTGTTTATTTTTCACTATGTTTGTTTCCAGACTCCTGGGTACCATTGGATATCATTAGAAAGGGTAAATTTGGCAGATGATTGTCATATTGGAACAATCTCTGTGGATTGTGGCAAGACCGAGTTACTAAGTGGCTCGGAAAAAGTGGTGTGATTTTAGACACTATTTGCATCATTGTGTTCCAGTCGTTAAAGAACACAAATATACCACTAATGCTCTATATTACTGTGACACCTAGAAAAAAAATGTTATTTTACCGCTTTGGGGAATATAAATGAGTAACACAGTGTAACACTGTCACAGCTTATCACCTTTTTTGAAAATGGGTCATGCCATTTACTGTGTAACATCACTTGCAGTCTTTTTTTTCGCGAGCATCCCCCTGTATTCAAATCACGAAAGACAACATTATAATCCCACTGTGCCCAGGAGGGCTGGATCATACTGGTGAGGAATTCGTCATCATAGCATCAGTGAGAATTCGCCGGTGTGACCATTTCTGAGGGCATTATGAGGACTGTGAAGGGGGTTGGTCAGGTTCTGGGAAGTGAAGGAATCGCTCTCACGGGGTTTGTTTGTGTTACCTCAGAGTTGAGGCTGTGCTGATATTATCTGGACTTGATTTGTTCTGATGGCCGGGTGCTATGAGCAGGTCACTGTGCTCTCTGGCCATGCTAAAGCGCTGGATGTTTTTGGTGCAGGGACAGAGAAACAGCATTAGTGCCCGTTCTGCTCAGTTCCTGGAAAGGCATTAAAAAAAACTCACGTGTCCGGATTTACAGGGATGCACTTTCTGCATCAGAGAACTCTTATTTCACAGTGAAATGGAATGACAGGCATGTCAGATTTTATCCCATATGGGCCAGACAGCTCAGGACCTGATTTTTTTACTTAAGACGATCAGCAGGTTGACGGGATATGCTCACGATCAAACACCCCTCTGACGCCGCACAGCAGGAGGAGAAGATACTGGTGCAGTTGTGGGGGGGAAAGGGGGGCGGGGGGGTAGAGGTTACCTTCAGTGGCACCTTCAGTGCCAAATCCTGCATCAGATATCTGTGACCTTGAGGTCTTCTGCTCCGGGCAGAAAGATGACTGATCTGTGCAGGTTACTCAAGGTTAATTCTTTAGAAAAAGTACAAAATGGTAAAAATATATACTGTACATACCCTGTGCACTTCCCACAAGTTAGGAGAGACAGAAAATACTGGTGCAGTAGGGGGTAGTGGTATCCCACGTCCTCTTGCTCAACCTCCACTGCCCAATGCAGCATCCAGAGCCTGTGACCTTCAGGTCTCCTTCTGTGAGCAAGTATGAAGAGAATGGGGGATTTAAACCAATATCACAAGGTTAATTCTAAATAAAATGTACCTTGGACACCTCCACTCTGATAGAAACAGAAAGGACAGTTAACTTAAAAAATACGGGGTCTATTTAAAACAAACAATCCAAAAAAAAAAAAACTTGACAGAAAGGCCTGTTTTGTAAGTGATATCATCACAGTCTGCGCTGTGAATCTGATGGAACTGTCAAATTGCAAGTTGAGTTGTGTGCAGTCAGGCAGCATAGCAAGAAAGAAGCCGTATTAATTGCCTTGCAGCTCTTTCTGACTGCACGTGCCAGTTCCACGCTCTACACATGGCGTGGATGGTCACCCAGGCTGAACACTAATCAAAGTGAGACACATTAAATTGCAGTGAAGTACGATGGGCTTAAATAAGGTGATTTGTCTTAATTCAATTGGACTTTTACTGGATTTCATCCAATTCGTGCTGAATTTGGCTCGATTTAATCAAAGAGTATTGAATTTAAGGAGGCCATGTTGTGCTTTTTGAGTTTTTCCCTTTCCTCTAGTGAGTTATATAGCTTTTTCAAGCATGTAAAATACCTACTAGGTTACAAAGCCCCAAGTAAAGGCCAAAGGGAGTTATTCTCTCCAACAGAAGTCGCAGCTCCTGAACTGCCTGAGACGCCTTGTTTGTCATCCAGCTTTTCATTCTGCTCGCCCGCAAACAAAGCTAGGTAGAGCGGAGGCTGGGAAGAAATTGGTTAGCGCCTATCGGCACATTAAAAAGATGCAGTTTATTTCAGTCCAAGGGCATATTCCTTTGTTTTGGACTTCCAAGTGGACAAAGTAAAGAGTCAGTGGTTAAAATGAATTTTTACCTCTATTCCTCAGCAGTACAACCTTAGCCTTTTAATGTGTTGCCTTCGTTTCACCGAGGACCGTATCTCCAACAGACGTTGTAAGCGGTTGGCTTAAAACCATTGACTGTATAAAAAGATGGACGCAGCGCCCGGTCTGAAAAGTGAAGTCGACGCGGAAATCTCAAAAAATTGCATTATATTTAATGGCCAGCAGATGGCGACATCGGTGGTTGCAGAAAGAAGTTCAATGCTATTGAAGTCTATGAGAAAATGACCATCCTTTGCCACCTGATCTATTATTTCAATAATGATTTTCCACATCATTTTATGGTATCTATTGCAAGTTTCAAGTCTTCTTCGATATATCGTGATGTTCATTTTTGTAAATTATGGTCCCAAGTAGACAAGAATAAAGGATAAACCAGAATATGCTTTAGGGGTGTGGCTATCCTCTGGTCCTCATCCGATACAGTCAGATCCAGAGCCATGTTCCTCCCCAGATCTTCAATACACGCTCTCGTCCAATAGGAATCACATCCGGTTTCAAAATGACAAAATGGTGCTGTTCAAATTGCCTAATCGAGGCTTCCTAAACGGTATGCTGAAACCAATGGGTGACGTCACAGTTGCTTCGTTCATCTTTTTATATAGTCTATGCTAAAAACAACAGAGTGGGCTTTAAGGGAGGGACCTTAAAGACACAGGAGCCAAAAAAGCCAGTTTCAGGCTGCGTGAACCTGAGGTAATGCTCACACAGCAGTAAATGGGTGCTTTTTGATCATATGAAAATGCAAAGGCTAGTAAAAAGACCATAAAAATGATAGCATTAAATTTTAAATTAGCATAATTTCGACTCTGAAACTGAATTGAGAATAAGTTGGGTATGTGTTTCAAAGCCTTGTCCCAGTCTCTTGTTCTCTCACATCAGATGGGTGTTAATTAGCTCATCAGAATCATCTGGCTTTAAGTAAAAATCCCTGTAACAAAAAGAGACTTTCACTGTGACTCATCTTAACTTAATGTATCTTCTAAAAACATACCTAGAAATACATAACTTTTTTACTTACCTGTGAAACACTGGCTCAAATCAGTGTGTGTGTGTGTGTGTGTGTGTGTGTGTGTGTGTGTGTGTGTGTGTGTGTGTGTGTGTGTGTGTGTGTGTGTGTGTGTGTGTGTGTGTGTCCCTGTGTGTGTATACAGGTTTGTTTGTGTGCCCGCTTGTCCACATAAGCACATGAAGCTGGAGATGCTACCTGCTGGGTGACAGTACAGAAGTAGTTCAAAGTTCACAAAGTTCAAAATTTTGGACTGCTTAAGTGCCATCAGGGGACATATGGGAGAAGGTCCTCCCAAAGTAGAACTGGGATGACCCAATTTGACAAAAATACATGACTCCACCGAACACCATAAATCTAACAAATTTAGATTCTCCAACAGAGCATCTGTTGGTGAGAATAAAGTCCTGCTTATTTGACATTGGACTAAAGTGCTGGATCAACTTGCTGGAAGTCACATTGATATGATGTCACAAGAGCAGAAGGCTATTCTGCGGCTCTACTGGTACAATTCTTGGGGCGGCAGGGTAGCCTAGTGGTAGGCTGCTTAACTGGTACTTGAAGAGTTGCTGGTTCAAGCCCCTGGTGGGGCTTTGAATTTGCACTTGATCTGGAGAGATGAGGCAGGAAAGATGCAGTTTGAGGTTGGGAAGAGCTCTGCCGTTGGGGCCTTGAGCAAGATCCTCAATCCCAAAATTTCTCCAGGGGCTTTACCCCAGTTTCTCTCTACCTCTGTCCTCACTTGCCACTGCTTTATCTGACATTTCTCCCAGGGTGTCCTTCAAAAAGAGAAATATGTTCTGGATGGCATTTTCCCTGGTTAAATTAGGGTTAAAAAAATAGTCTGAGTCAGTAAGCAACTCGATGACACCCTATTCCGGTCTATTCTAGAGTCTCCATCAAAGACTCCTACCTGTCTCTACCTGTAGTTACATTGGGAACAGGCAATAATTATGCCGTAGTCGTAGTTGGACCTCATAGTGAAATGAGTGCTGACCGTATAAGCTGTCGGCATCACGTCTTCTGCTGTGGAGATGAACGCTGACTATGCTGAATAGGGCTGCACAATAAGGAGAAAAAATTCAATAACCAATTAATGAATTGGATGGCGATATGCGATGTGATAACCAAGCAGTAGCGTGCGGTGGGGTTTCAGTCAGGGCTAGCAGTAACCTCACCCTTTACCGCTCAATTGTCCTGAAGCTGTTCTCGTTAAAGTTCGCCTGATTAACAAACAAACGATTTATTGACTGAATGACCAAGATCAATCCATGATCCATAATAAGAAATGATAATGAAAAAATGAATGCCTATTGCCAATTGATACAATTGATACAACATTGTTCGGATGGAAGCATAAATTTAAAAAATCTGAAACTTTCGCTGACTTCGCAGCATTTATTTTCCCCATCACTCAGCTGTGCATCGTACCCAACAACGCCGTTTAGCCGTGACTACATTCAGAAAACAGAGCAGATTCTTGGGACTTATTGCTTAATGAGCCTCGCAAACTTTAAGAAAATCCGTGCTGTTTCACGGGCTACACGAGCGCAGAAATAATAAAGACATTGATGTTTTATGTAGTCATTTATGTGTGGAAGAAAAGGCCGTATAATTTTGTGGTGTGATGTATGACAATGCTATCAAAAATAAATTAGACTGTCGTTGGCTCTACCAATTTGTCTGAGCAACTGTTGCTAATCGAGAGAAGAAAAGTGCGAGAGGTTTAGGTTATTAAGCAGTGAAAGTGAGGTTACCGCTGGCCTTTGTTCTTGCCAACGGACCACCACTGTATCTAAGTGATATGTGAAGTCCATACCAACTATTTTTAAGTTTAAACAGAAAATTGAGCACAGCGGTAGTTCAGGCAGGCCATGGAGTCACGCCCAGCTCGCAAGCCTGCCTTCATTAGTGATGGCACAGATCGCAAGCCAAGCCCACATCAGCTGACAGCTCAGCTGATTCCTTTCATGCACTCAGCTGGCAAATCATGAACAAGGCGCCCTATTTAAAGATGGTTTTCCTGCCCTCTATTGCCGCTTCTTTGCTCATTTTGCAACCCACCTCCATCCCCAGCTCCGCCTTTACATGTTTATCCGACTTAAGTCAATGACGTCACAGTCATTGATGGCTGGGTCTGTTCTGTACCCCTGGGAGGGGGGTTTTCTGCTGCTCTCTCCACCCATGGCTTTCACACGTATGCATGGAAGGGCAGGTTTTTGGCTCTCCCTGCCTACTGGCTTTTCATGCATACGCGTGGTGGGGGGGGGAGAGGCCCCAGAACAGAGCCATCCTGCCAAAATCAAATGATGCAAGTAAATTTGCTGCAAATGATATAATTTTGAGATTTTGACAAAGTGGACCTGACTGAAATAAGGGCATATCTAAGTTGCCTATAGTCTTTGCTCTTATCGGGCAAACATTTAAAGTAAAAAAAAATGACTGCAACCCTTGAATGTGGAGAGGAAAATTATTATTCACGTATATACATAGACAAGTTCTGTTGACATACGCATAAATGTGGCGCGAGGTATAAATAGTTCCTTCAGATGTCAGCTGTGCAGACAAACCTGCCGCGAGAGAGATTCACATGCCTATATTTTTTTCTGCTGTGTCTCCATTCTTTACTACTGAAGTGAATTCAGACCATTCTATCATTGAAACTGGCGATATGCTACAACGCTTTTTCAAAACAGTTGGGATGCTGAGTAAATTGTAAATGAAAACAAAATGTAATGACCTGCTAATCATTTAAACTCTACGTGTAATAGACAATAGTGCAAAGACAATATATCAGATGTTGACACTAAGAAATTGATTTTTTTTTTTTTTAAATATCTTCTCATTTTGAATTTGCCTGCAACGTGTTTCAAAAAAGTTGGGATGGGGGCAACACGAGTGGAAAAGCGGTATGATGCTAAAAAATACACCTTGTGGAACATCTTTCAGCTAATTAGATTAATCAGAAACAGGCCTGTAACATGACTGGGTATAAAAAGATCATAGAGAGGTTGAGTCTTTCGGAAGTAATGATGGTGAGGGCTTCACCAATCTGAGAAAGACTGTGAGTAACAATTTATGAATAGCTTTTCTCAATGTAAAATTGTAATTTTACATTTTATTTCATTGCAATTTGGGGGTTTTATCATCTACGATAGAAAATACTGTGCACTAGAGCACAGGGCATGGGTAACTTGCATGTATTACAGTCAGATTCTGAAACCAGTCATTTTGTGAAATGACTAAAAATTTGTAGTCATTTTGTGAAATGACTGAAGTTTAGCACTAGCCATTTCATTAAATGACTGGTTTCACGATCTGACTGTAACACGTATATGTGAAGACACCATTAATGCTGAACGATATGTACAAGTTTAAGCCCAACATATACTGCCATCCAGAAGTTTTTTTTGAAGGCCTCCTTGCTTATGTCCGCAGGACAATGCCTAACCCCACACTCTGCATAAATAGCAACATGGCTGAGTAATAAAAGAGTCTGGTTGCTAAACTGACTTGCCTGCAGTCCGGAACTGTCACCTACAGAAAATATTTGGTGCAATATGAGACAAAACATATGAAAAATGAAGCCACAAAGTGTTGAGCAGCTGAAATCCTATATCAAGCAAAAATGAGAGAACATTTTGCTTTTAAAATTACTGCAGTTCGTCTTCTCAGTTTCCAAACACTTTTAGAGTGTTGTTGAAAGAAGAGATGATGCAACACTGAGGTAAACGTGCCCTCATCCATACTTTTTTGAAATGTGTCGCTGACTTTAAATTTAAAATGAGCAGATATTTTTTAAAAAACAATAAATTCCAGTTTCAATTTCTGATATGTTGTTTTTGTACTATTTTCAATTCAACTTAGAGTTAAAATGATTTGCATATCATTGCATTCTGTGTTTATTTACATTTTACACAGAATCTCAACTTTTTTGGAAACAGGGTTGTAATTTTCGTATGCAAACATACAATAACAAATAAATTTTGATAAATTGTGCAGCTCCAATGCTGAGGGCGTTGCTTTCTTTGTTGAGAATTCTCTCTTGGATATCACTGAAGTTCTTTTTTTTTCATGTTGTTTGGTATGAAACAATTTGAGGGTAAAGAGGTTAAAGAACATTTAAAAAGGAACAAACAACCACATCAACAAGAAGACATTTTTTGCATGAGGAAAGCAGAAAAATCCATGTTACGCATTTGAATTGACGTGAACATGTGATAGATGGCTATTCTAATGCCTGGAGCTGGCAATAATTCAATGCGGTGGCATTAATATGCTTTGTCATGAGTACTTATATTCTTCAACCACAACGAGAAAGGAATCTCCTTGTGCATAACTGCATGATGCAATGTTTTCACCTGGAATACACGCTGGAATACATGCTATACATACACTACGATTGCCCTCTTTGTTCAACATTCCCATCCTTTCTCAAGTCAAGCTTGCGGTTTAGTAGTAAGAGCAATAATGCACAGTCTGCAGCTTTTGGAAACAGTAATTGACTGAGGTATGCACCTTCAGATAGTTTTAACGAGGACCACACCAGAGGAGGTCATACAGACTGTTTAAGCTATTTTGGCAGTAACCGTTCTGTGAGCTCGACCACAGTCCTCCGGCTAATGCAAAGGGTTTAGCACACCATGGTCTCTCAGAAATAAACCTCACAAGCTCCATTGTGTTCATAGATCTTACAATTTATCTGATTGGACGGTGGGGTTAGTCAGCAGGTGGCTAAGGAATGGATTTGTTCGATCGATACGGAATGGCAGTTTCATGGCTGCTAAATGGCTCAGTTTAGGTGAACACAGCCAATCAGAACCCACTTGAGTGACTGCTGCACCAATCAGAGATATCGACTTTGGGATAATGCTCACGTAGCATGGGTCATTGCCCAGGACTGTGAAAGCGATGGCTGGATAAGCGCTGATGGACTAAACATTGTTGTGATTGATTGATTTCCCTCTTCTCAGGGATTGGTGGAGGACAATGGGAGGTGTTTTAGCTGAAGTTAATGAATTAAACATAGCTTTGATTGATCTACTCCATCCTCTTTGTGCAGATGGGATGTGAAACGTGTAAATGAGAGCCACTTTAATTCAGAGGGTGGCAGTACAAAGTGTTCTGCCAATAATGTTTTCAGTTAGCAGCACAGAAAATGACCAAAACCCCATGTTCTTGTTGATGTAACAGCTTTCTGAAGTTGCCCTGCCAAAGAACCTGAGGGTCATAGTCTCTGATTTAGGTAGATGGAATCGGTAACCTTACCTCAATAGCTCTGGCTAAATGCCAGCGCTAAAATGAAGACAGACCTCTTTGTCCAGGTCCAAGACTCTTCTCTTTAGCCATCTTCTTGTTTGGATTTTCATTCGTATGGGTCTTGCTGTGTTAATGTAGATGTGTTATACATTCCTCAAACTAATGATGTTTTTCATTTCTGCAAGTTGCTCTGCATAATCTTGCCTGCTAAGTGACAGAAATGTATATGTAAGCACAAGTACTTACACAAAATGATAAACACTTTGATAAATGGAGGGAAAATGAGCCTATCCAAAAGAGCCTGTCACACAGAGAATCCATTCTTTATG